CTCTAATGATTAGTGATGTTGAGCATCCTTTCATGTGTTTGTTGGCAGTCTGTATGTCTTCTTTGGAGAAATGTCTATTTAGGTCTTCTGCCCATTTTTGGATTGGGTTGTTTGTTTTTTTGATATTGAGCTGCATGAGCTGCTTGTATATTTTGGAAATTAATCCTTTGTCAGTTGCTTCGTTTGCAAATATTTTCTCCCATTCTGAGGGCTTTTTGTCTTGTTTCTAGTTTCCTTTGCTATGCAAAAGCTTTTAAGTTTCATTAGGTCCCATTTGTTTATTTTTATTTCCATTTCTGTAGGAGGTGGGTCAAAAAGGATCTTGCTGTGGTTTATGTCATAGAGTGTTCTGCCTGTGTTTTCCTCTAAGAGTTTTATAGTGTCCGGCCTTACATTTAGGTCTTTAATCCATTTTGAGTTTATTTTTGTGTATGGAAAACTCCCTTCTTTTAAATGTTTTTCAGAAAACAAGTTCTCTTTTCAGTTTTCTCTGAGTGTAGGGTTAGATAGATGGGAAGAAGGGGAAATTTGAGTCAGGGTGGCAGAGAATGAGAGACTCCAATAGTCACAAGGTGACAGTGTAGATGAGTTAGGCATATGTACTGGGGGTGTTTCTAATCTCAGGGTTAGGACTTACATGGTAACTGAAGGAGCAATACGCAATAAATCTGCCTAGGAAAGAGTGGGGAGACCAGAGGGAGCTGGTGGGACAGCCCTGAACAGACTGTGATGCCAGGGCCCACTGGCCCCTCGTTGTTACTCTGAAGACTGAAGTGCAGAGTGAGCTTTAGCGTGAAAGGAAAATGTTTATATTTCTTTTTCTTACCCTTTTTAAGCACTTGAACCTTGGCATTGTTTAGTGAGTTGGAGATTACTACTGGTGGAATATTCCATTGATTTAAATTTTCTGAAATAAAGAAGGAGCATCTTATGATATGAGTTGAAAGAAACAATGACTAGGCTGGGTTGTTTTAGCCACAGTCAGCTGGAGGATATCTTTGGGCAGTGTATGGCTCTAGGAGAAATCTCTCCCCTGCTCATTCAACGGAGGGATTTGAGTTAAGACATAGTCTCTCCCAGTCTTTTGTGTGTGTGAGGGTGAGTTCTCAAGGACCCTAGAACTAACTGGAAATCTGATGGGCATTATATGTGCCGAGAGTTGATACCAAGAGATATGCCGGCATGTCTCCCCTCCTTACCTTGAGAAAACAGAAGAATTAAGCCCTGCTATTTTGATTTCATTTGCAGTACATTGAACCCCCTAGAGTTCATCATAAATATGTACAGATGGCATTTTGCATCATATCTCTTGATGGTTATAAGGGTTATGAACTCACACTCTTGCATTTCTCAAACCCCAGTATCTATGTGACTAGGTGACTTGGTCCCTGTTTCCTCTAAGTGTCATGATGATGTTGTTCTGAAAACACCTAGTGGGCTGGATTTCATTTGGAAGTGTAGAAGGGACATTTTGATTTGTTTTTCATGTTTTGCCATCTCAAGATGCTGAAGTCCCTATCTAAAAACAAAAAAGTGCTTTTCAATCACAGTGATCAGACGCCGTGTCACATCCTGCAGTGTGGTTTCCCATCTTTGTACCTTTCTTGTGACACTGACTCTTGTAGGTGTTCACATTATTAGTTCCACATACCAACAGTGGCAAGCAGTAATTTCTTCAGAACCACAGGTATCACATTTTGCACCTCGTCCATCTGAAAGAGATGGGTAGAGCATTTTTGTTAGTATATCTGCTAGTCCCCCAGGTAGTCCTCACATCAGGGAAAGTGGTCTTAGGTGCCCCTGTATATATGGGCTTTTTTCCTGGTGGAAGAAGTCTGGTACTCAACAAGGCTATGAGGGGAAGTGGATCTTAATCTATCTCTCAGGCCTCTAATTCTTTGGGAATTTTCAAAGGCCCTTCAGTAGGTTTTGATGCCTTGGGTGGCTCCTTTACCAGTGTTTTTTGGGCTCCTTTTATGTTCCAGACATTGCTGTAGGCACGGTGGTACAGCCACGTGCCCTCAGGCCAAATGTGAATTCAGTATTTTGGGGAGGATGGATGGTACCTCCTTTGGATCCATTCTGAGTCCCTCCCTGATCTGGTCGTCCTCGCTGGTGCTATGTTTACCTCCCTTCTTTTGCATTCCCCTCAAGAGGCCGATGTGTCCATGCGACCTACCCTTTGCACATCCTGTTCCCTCTACCTGGTACACACTTTTGCCCTCTGGTAAACTGCTCCTTCTTCAGGGCTGAGTCCAGGCATCATTTTCTCAGTGAACCCACAGTCTGCCTTCCATTTCATGCTTCCTCCACTCTGTCTTCTTCATGCTCAATTGACAGTTATTTGCATGAGTGTCTGTGTTCCCTGTCAGGTGGGTAGTTATATGGGGTCAGGGTTCATGCCTTCTGTGATCCTTCCCTGGCACAGAGCTTGGCCTAACACATAGCTGCCCGGTACAGATAAGATGAAGCAACCCCAGGCTTGCACCGACTCCCAGAGTCTACCTCTCACATGACTCCCCACTATCTCACGGCTGACATATGGGACATAGACATAAGGTTGTTCACCTCTGGGTACCCATTGTGTGCCTCCGTCCATTGTGTGGTTACCAGACTCTTAATGATGTGGCTTATTTATTTATGGTTTTAATCTGTTCCTGTCCTCCTGCTTAAACTAGAGGGTCACTCCTGGAGTCTGCGACCTCATCACCGTTTCATGTTATAGATTTAGGGCTGGACACGTAGTGATGCTCACTAAATGTTTGTTGAATGAAAGTGTGAACATGTGGGAGATCAAATGTCTTAAATGCGGAGGTGGTTGGTGAACCTTCTGTAAGTTTCCATATCTCTTTCTGGAGCCTGGTCCCTGGGTCCCACCCTTGCTCTCCCCACTTGCCTACCTCCCAGGTCTCCTCTGGGGCTCCATGTGCTTGCTCTGTAGAACAAGGACTGAAAACCTCTGATGGGAAGTGTGAGGCTGTGGGAGGCTGGATATCCTCCTGTGAGCCAAGGCAAAATTAGAATCTAGATCATCTTTTCTTCCTTCCAGTGGCCCCCCAAGACTTCTTGGTGTATGAGAATCACCCAACACTAAAAAAGCACAGACTCAAAAAAAAAAAGCACAGACTCTAGGCCTTCCTTTAGGTCACTGACTGAATGTGGCACTCCAGTACTGAGCTTGGGGAACCAAGTTTTAAGAGCTTCCCAGAGAGAACCTAGGTTTGGAGCCTGCAGTCCTGCTCCACATTGTGCCTGTGATCTATTCCTTTGCAGAGTCCCCGTTTCACTGAGTGCCTGGCTTTAAAATAATTTCTCCTCTATTATAGATAAATGTTTTGAAAATCAAGTCGACTTACAGCCTCAGGGGGTGTCACTCTGTATTGAGAGCTGTCAGGAAACAAAATACAAGGAAAAATTATTTTTAAATAAAAATTACTAACCAGTTCTAAAGTAGAGTTTAGGTATTAGTTCAGTTGCTTCTTTTTTAAAATTTTATATATTTGTTTTTGGCTGTGTTGGGTCTTTGTTGCAGTGTGCGGGCTTCTCATTGTGGTGGCTTCTTTTGTTGTGGAGCATGGGCTCTAGGCTCATGGGCTTCAGTAGTTGTGGCATGTGGTCTCAGTAGTTGTGGCATGCGGGTTCAGTAGTTGTGGCACATGGGCTCTAGAGTGCAGGCTCAGTAGTTGTGGCGCACGGGCTTAGTTGCTCCATGGCATGTGGGATCTTTGCGGACCAGGGATCAAACCTGTGTCCCCTGAATTGGCAGGCAGATTCTTAATCACCATGCCACCAGGGAAGTCCCAGTTCAGTTGCTTCTTAAAGTCACTTATAAAATTTATTTTTTATTTAAAAAAATTTTATTTTTACTTTTATTTTTTAACATCTTTATTGGAGTGTAATTGCTTTACAATGTTGTGTTAGTTTCTGCTGTATGACAAAGTGAATCAGCTATATGTATACATATATCCCCATATGCCCTTAAAATGTTAAATACAGAGGGGAAAGAGCAAATTTAAGGTGAATAAGAGCACATGAGTAAAACTTCCTTCTGATTTCCCTGTGATCATCCAAGTATTTCCCAAGGGCCTTCTCCATTACTCTTCGCATGGGATTTGAATTGGGTTTTTGATATTGCTTCCTGTGCTGACGAATGTTGAGGGGTTTGTAGTTACAGACAAGTACCTCTCAATCTTGATGTCCACTATCAATTTGTCTTTTGAAATCTTGCATGCATGGGAGATGATTAAATCCTGCATTAATATAAAACAAACATGAGTTAAAAAAATACCTTCACCACGCTACTCAGCAAACATGTCATATTGTGATATGACCAACAAGGTCACAGGTGAGGCCTGGAGTGGAGATGACTGGGTCTCAGGGGACCACCTGTTTAGTCTCCCCTCAAGGCTGAGCCTACCAGCCTGGTTGGTCTCCTCCTCCTAGGGACACCCAGGCACTGTGGCCCCCAGGGTTTTGGTACGAGTTCCCCCTACAGAACATTCTTCTTTCCATGTGACCTCTGCTCCTGCTAGTTCCTCCTCACAGCTCAGTCGTGATTTGTTACTTAGCACTCACCGTCTGCCCAGTGGCAAACTTCTCACCATCCTTTTCCATGTCAACCCAGTAGGTGGCATGGATTTTGTTTCTTGACAGGTGGTTGTAGACTCTTTTGGTGATCTTTGCACCTAGGTTACTCATCTGTTGTAAAGAAGTCATCATTTAGAGTGTGGAGAGGAAGAAGGACTGCAGGATGTTGCATTGCGAGATATCCATGCATTGCTTGGTTCTTTTATTTAAATATTTATTGATCCTGCAGTATGCATTGGTCACCTTGCTGGGTGCTGGTACAGGTGATATGACCACACAGACACTAATTCCAGACATTTCCCTTTATCTCATTTCCTTTCTCGGAAGGACAGTGGGGCATATAACACAGAGACACATTTTCTGTTACTCCTCATCCTGTTTAAAGCCCGTTTCTTTCTATGCTCTTGTGGCAGATAGTTCTGCACTTGATGATTTTGGGAGACTCTGGTAAGGAAACATTGTACGTTGCTGAAATAGAGCCTGACACAGAGAGGACTTAAGGTTAGTACTTTGTTGTAACTACTGCCTTCTACCGCTTTCGGGGCGGGGGGCAAGTGAATACCTCATATGTAGATAAACCCACCCCCTTGCATATGCTTTGACTATTGGTAAGTTGCTTCTCTCACTTTGGTCACCTGTAAAGTGGGAATAAGAAGCTCTACCTCTCAGTGCTGTTGTGAGGACGAAATGACATCATGTAAAGACACCTGGCTTTGTACCTGGCACATAGGAGACACTCAGAAAACATTTGTCCTCCTGTGCCCCTGCTTTCTCCTTTTCCCCAGTGTAAACAAGGACCCACTTATATGACCATTAAGGGAAAATATGTATCCCATAGCATTTCCTCATATTTATCTATGGAAGAATGTTCCAGAACCTACTTGTATTTCTACCTTCTCAAACTTAGAGGTTGATAGACTAGACTTAAGCAAAGAGGAGAGTGGAGGGGCCATGTGGGTAAGGCTTACCTTGACAGAGCTCTGCTTGGCACTTTTAGTGATGATTTCCTTGAGCATTTCTCGGGACAAAATTACAGCAGTGTTGAAATTTTTAGGATCTGGAGGAAGGGGACTTCCAGGCACAGGGGATGTATTTTGGTTAAAGTGGGTCTAGAGAGAGAACAAGAGAAAAATCCCTGTTATCATGTGAGACTACCATCAATTTCAGTGTCTTTGGAGGCCTGGTTCTGATGTTGAGGAGTGAGGTGGCCCTGTGTGAGCACCCCAGTGAATGAGCATGAAGGCAAAGGGCAGTTGACCTCCCATCCTCCATGTTGCAGGACTGTGGGGGAGTGGCAGGGTTTGTGGAGATGGAGAGAGGAGCCCCTTAGAGAGGAGGAAGCACTGCTCTGTCCAGCTGATTAGCCCTGAAGCAGACGGCTCGGTCCCCCAGACCTCTGATTTTCCAAGAGAAGCCACACATCTTCATTTTTCAGGTGAATTCCTCCATTTAAGTAGTGCTTCAAGTAACATGTGTGTGTATGCATGTTTGTACGTAACTCACAGTTCTCCCAACCTTAGAATGACTTTCTTCTCAAGCAAGCTCAAGCAAGGCTCATCTTATCTGTGGAATTCTGGCCTCCATTGAATAATTTCTCTTCCTTTCATACGCATTTTGCTCTCTGTTTATAAAATACAGACCCCACATGGCAGGAAAAGTTCAGAGAAGTATGAAGAAGGGAAAAGAGATTCTGAGTGACGGCACTGGTATTTCTCCTTTATTTTTATTTTTTTTGTTTGCATAGACCTAATGTAATTTTTATTTTGCTTTTGAAAAATTAACAGTACCTTCATAAGCATTTTTGTACACCATTACATTTTTTGAGAATTTTCTAATGATCTCATGCTTGACTCAGATATTTCCTTTTTGTTCTTTTCTAGTTTTTTTTTCTTTCCCCATCATTAATATCTGTATTTCTTTGTACTTAAATATATCTATACTCAGGATGTTTAATACAGATGGATTCACAGAAGTGGGTCCAAAACCTTGCCTCTCCTCATGGCCTAGATTTGCATTCCCTGGGCGGGTGAGTCGGTACTTTCTGTTTTCTTATGTATTGTCCGTTGAGTGTCTAGACCTGTGCTGGGCACGTCCTACTGGTCGAGAAATGGTCATCGTTGTAATGCCTCACAGGGATTGTACTTTAGACTTAATGGAAGTGAATACATGGCCGGCCCCTATGGCAGGCTTTTAGGTGTTATGGTTGAAGCCTGGGAGATTCACTCCGTGGTGCCAGTGTCATGCCTTGGTCATAGTTGGCACTCAGCATTGAGTGACCAATACTAGAGCGGGGATCTGAGGGAGAGGGTATGGGGTCCCTTTGGACAGGGTGTTCAGGGATGGCCTCCATGTCAAGTGACATTTTGTATCAGATGTGTGTGATATGAAGGATCCAAATGGGTGCAGGAGGATTGGAAAGTACACAGTGTCTCAGGCAGGCAAGAGCATGAATGCAGGCCTGGGGGATTTTAAACATGGTTGTTACATGATTTGTTCAGCCCCTTTTCCTTTCCCTAATTGCCTCAGGAATGAGGCTTGAATGGTGTCAGTAGCCTGCTGTGGTGCTCATCTGTATTCAGGATTTTCCAGTCTCTAGCCCAGGCTCCTTCTCACTTATTGTCTCATTTAATGGCTCCCCAAATTCTAGAGCCTATTCTCTGGGCCTCAGGTTTTTCCTATAATTTAGAGAAGGCCCAGTCCTCTGTTAGGTTCCTACCACTCTATGTTTTGTGATTTTGTACGTCCTGTTATGATCATGCTGTGGTATTCCCACAGCTTTACAGTGCAAGAGTGTGGGAGAGGGAGGCGATTTTGACTGATGGGATGGTTAATGCCTGAAGTGGGGGAGTAGGGGCTGGGGCGGGGATTGGGTTGGGTCCCTGCCTTCAGGCTCAGCATTTTGCTGCAGGGCCCTCCCCAACTTCACTGCTCTCATACTGTGAACCTCAGCTACAGTTTCAGTTGCCAAAGGTCCCATTTTGGAATTGGCTGGAATGTTAGATGCATAGAACAAATGACATTGACCTTTTCCAGAGGGCAGAACCTAAGTAGAACCTATACTTGATGATAAGCAGAAGACAAAACTCAACTGTCCTGGGTCTTATTTTTCTTGGACATTTGAGGGAAATGGAATCATCTTTTAGGTGAAATTTGTGACACCTGTTGGTGGGTGAACTTTGATTTCAGTGCATCCATTGATTCTTTGGACCCAGAGAATGAACCCAACTCCAGAGGTCGGGAAGGGGCACATCAGGGATGCAACCTCTGACGGCCCTTGGGACCTCCCAGTTCTTTGTGTCTCTGTCCTTTAGCTTTAGGAGGTGGGGCAGCCTTTGAATTCTGCTAATCCAGGATCCATGGGAAGGTGTTTCATGCAGATGTGGTTTCTCAGGCTGGGCACAAGGACAGTGCTTGTTCCCAAGCTCTAAGTGATTTGACCTGCTGACTCTTGAAGGAGAGGGCCCTTTCAAGGTTGGCCAAGGCTTGGCTGGGATCACAGTTGCAGGTCATAAGGCAGGGACGAATTCTTAATGGCCTCTGTGTGAAGAGGCCTTAATAGGCCCAGCTGAGCCACAGTTGCCTTGGTTGGCATCAGGATTATGACCTTTCATAGGTGTTTTTTTGTTTTGTTTTTTTTTTCTTGGTGGTACGCGGGCCTCTCACTGTTGTGGCCTCTCCCGTTGCGGAGCACAGGCTCCGGATGCGCAGGCTTAGTGGCCATGGCTCACAGGCCTAGCCGCTCTGCGGCATGTGGGATCTTCCCAGACCGGGGCACGAACCCGCGTCCCCTGCATTGGCAGGTGGACTCTCAACCACTGCGCCACCAGGGAAGCCCCAATCCATTGATTTTTGAAAGTCGTAAATCATTATAGAAGACACTATAAAATGTATACAGTAAAAATGAAAGTCCATCCCAACACTTCTTCCCCTTTTCTCCTAAATCCTATTCTCAGGGGTAACCACTATTGACATTTTGGAGTATATCCTGACAGACTGTTTTCTACACACATAGAAGAATGAATAGATGGGAACATTCTAACCAGATGGTCCTGCACCTTGTTTGTTCCTCTCAACATCAGTACATATAGAACAACCCCTTTCTTTTAAACAGCTGCATAGAATTCCACCTTATATAGCCATTACCTGACTTATTTTACCAATTCCCTATTGATGGACACCTAGGTTAACTTTATTTTTCACCCTGTAACAAGTGAAGCTGCAAAGAACACCCTTGCACATGTACCCTCATCCACTGGTGTAAGAATTTCTGTAGACATGAAATCACAGGGTTCACTTCTAGTCTCAGAGCTGCCACACCTGTGTGGCAAGGAGGGAACAGTATGGGGAGGCAGGAGCCCTGGCTCCAGTCCTGATCCTACCTGCTGGGTGACTTGGGAAAGTCACTTTCCCTATCTGGGCCTTGGGTTCCCCATGTTAATAATGGAGCAATAACATTAGATCTCTTCCAGATATAGATCTTGGGATTTCATATTTCAGTGTTTACTGAGCACACCCTGTGTACCCTTCAGAGAGTATACTGTTCATAGTCCCCGTCCCCAAACTGGAGAGACAGTGAACACACAAAGTTAAATAAATGAACACACACAAATATACATATGTGTGTATATGTATATAGACAACTTCCCATATATAACTTTACTCATATACACAGTGAGATCAGTATTTCGAAGGGAACAGAGTAGAAAGAGAGAGAGGGTTTTGGGTGAGGGAGAGAGAAAAAGCTTACTTTAGATATTTACATGTGGTGGTCAGGGAGCAGCTCTCTGAGGTGATGACATTTGCACAGAGACCAACAGTGGAGAGAAGAGTGTTCCAGGCAGGGAGACAGCATGTGCAAAGGCCCCGAGGTGAGCACCAGCCCATCCTGTGTGGCTGGAGCATAGTGGGTGAAGAGACAGAGCTAGAGAGGTGGGCAGGAGCCAGACCTCACGAGGCCCTGGGCCTGCAGAGAGGAGACTGGACTTTATTCAGAGCACGATGAGGAGCTGCTGGGGGCTTCTGAGCAGTGATCTATCTGTATTTCTCCCTCATGTGATGCCCTCATCGACTCTGGGAACTTGCTCTTCCCGTTGACTTCTGTGTGTGTGTGTGTCTGTGTGTGTGTGTGTGTGCCTCCTTGCCACCATTCAGGCCATCTCCTCAGAGATGTATTCGCTGACTACAGTGTCCAGGGTAGCTCTCTCACCTCCATCACACACTTGCTGATCCATTGCTCTGCTTATTTTAAATAAGATACATTATTTTATTTATCTGTTTTCTTGTTCAGTTTCTATTCCTCCAGTAGACTTTGATCTGTGAAAGGGCAGGGACCCTGTGTGCATAGGGCATGGCACACAGTAGGCCTTCAATACATGTTTGCAGCATAAATGTTATGAAGAGAGGAACAACAAAGGGGTGTTCAAGGAAGTCTTTCCAGAAGAAGGAACTTCTATACTGGGTTCTGAAAGCTGAATAAGAGTTCTCCAGGTGAGGTCCAGAGAGGGGAAGTGACTTACCTAGGCCCACCCAGGAAGGCACTTATGCCACCTGGGCCTTGGTTTCTTCATGTGAAAAGTAGAGCAGTAATGTACTTCCTTTTCTCAAACACTCACCGTGGGGTCCTGGAGGTTCACATGTATCTCCTTGCTGGTGTAGAGGCAGGACAGGATGTCATTGTAGGTTTCCAGTGAAAAGACCAGGTCTGCCAGGCTGCCCGGGGCTAACTTTGGGAGGGGCTTGGGGGCTAGGTGGTCAGGCCTTGGGGCTCTCTGGCCTGGGCTGCAGGGGTCATAAGCTTTAGAAAAATGAAGGAGGAAGGAGAAATTCAGAGGGAACAGTCTCCTCAGGCAAAAACTGGTTACAGCTAACCTATGGAGGGTTCACTATGTGCCAGACACAGCGCTGAACACTTACAGGCACAATCTCATTTTGACCTCACAACAGCACCATGAGATGGAAACCATTTGATAGATGAGGAAGCTGAGGCCCAGAGGAGTGAAGTGACTTTCTCAAGAGCCTATACATGGTAAGAGGTGGAGCTGGGTTTTGAACCCATGAGCTACGCTTCCTTGCTTCTCCCTCATGTAACCCCATTCTTTTCTCCGTGACTTTGTTAACAGTGCCTCCTTCCTATCCACTCAAATCCTCCTGTCCTCCTGACTCACCTGCTACCATCCCATGGAGGAGAGGGGCAGCCAGCCTCATCCTTTCTCTGGGCCTTGGTTTCCCCATCTGAGGGGTCCCTTCCAGCTGGGTGCTACACACGGTCCTGCCGTTCCTGAGCCACCCCACCTGCCCTTTTGTTGGAGCCTAATTTTCACTTGTGGGACATACAGCCCCGTGGCCTCTCCACCTTTCCAGGGTTGAGCGGGACTTCCCAGGCTCAGTGTGAGCTCCGGAGGGTGGGGCCTGCCTGGTCTGCCCTTTCTTCTCCCT